GATGGTGTTGTCATGCGCTTCTGTCCATAACCTACTTTCGGCACAATCTACTTGATGCAATACTTTTGTCTTAAAATGTTCTTCTTCTTCTTCAGGTGCCATCTCCGCTACGGAGGTTGGCAATCATCATAGCTATCTTAATTTTTGAGGCAGTAGCTCTAAATAGTTGTTTTGAGCTGCATCCAAACCATTCTCTCAGGTTCTTCAGCCATGAAATTCGTCTTCTTCCGATGCTTCTTCTGCCATCTATTTTTCCTTGCATTATGAGTCGCAGGATGCCATACTTATCGCCCCGCATTACATGTCCGAGATACTGTAGCTTTCTTTCTTTAATTGTAAGTTCAATTTCCTTCTCTTTGCTTATTCTTCTCAGTATTTCATTGTTTGTAACTCTATCTACCCAGGAAACCCTCATAATTCTTCTATAGGTCCACATTTCAAAGGCGTTAAGTCGTCTCATGGTATCTAGATTTAACGTCCATGATTCCACTCCATAATATAGTACACTGTATACGTAACATTTTGTTAGGCGTATTTTAAGAGCTAATGTTAGATCTTTGCCACATAGGACCTTTTTCATTTTTTTTTTGTAACCTTAAAATGTTACAAAAAGGAAATCCATTAAAATTACGAAAAATATAAAATTCCGGATACTTTCTAGACGGACTATACGTATGTATCTACATACATATGATGTACTATTAGTACGTATGTTCGGTTGACTTTTTTATATTAGCAACCAATGATCGGTTATTACAATATCCTGGTTGTAGAAATATTTTTCTTGAATATCGGTTGTCTATTGTTGTGGTATGCCCTTTATTGGATGCTTGACTCCTGTGAAACCAATAATGCCCTCATCGGTACTATCTCTCATCCTAATTTTTCCGCAGATCTTTAAAACTTTATTTTGATACTAATGAGCTTCCTTTCTTATTTTTTCTTTTACTGGTAACATATTACGTATGCTAATGTCGTTTTTATCGTGAGTACATATGCAGGGTGATTCTTTAAGAGTTTCTATTAGACATTTTAGGGAAACTTACCATAATTAATATTTGAAAATTTAGGATAAGGGTTTTTAGATATACGTAAATTAGTCTAAAATATTTAGACCCTATTACTACTTCAGGTTATAAGAGCAGATGACTAAAACCTCTTTATTTTAAATATACGCCCTCTGTATTATAAACACCTGCTCTTTAGATCCAAATAAACTGCAGAAGCATAATAAACAAAATTTTGGAAGAGGATAAATAGAGTAAAAGGTGTAGGGAAGGACTAAGAAAAATATCAAAAGTTAAATATAAAAATATATGAGAACAACTAGAACGAACATTTATTAAAGAATAAAAATACATACATAAAAGATTTGAAAGGGTAGGCTCTCATATCCGATGCTTTTTCATCGATCATATTCTAGAAATATTTTTTTGTGACGTTTTGTTTGCACTTGCGATATATATTAACAAAACAATGAGGTAAGGTCCATTATTGTTTTCTCAATGGCATCCCTCATCATCATCATCATCCACCCTTATCTGTCTCGGACGCGACTAGTTCACGTTCGAGACGCATCGCCCCGCCCCTTATTTTTCCCGTTGGCCCCTCCCTGTCCTGGAAATCCCTAATCGCTACTTCAGAAAGTATAAATTAGGCGATTTTCAGGTCAATCAGTCAGTCCTTCACGGGCATCTCCGAGAGCTTAGTGCTCTCGGGCTCAGCTTCCCTTTTAGCTTTCCATACTCTGTGGCTGAGTATTATTTCTACTGTATTTTGGTGTTTTATTTCGACCTATATATATTTGGTCATGTAAGAAATAACTTCGCCTGTTTCAAGGCAAGACATCGAAGACAACAAACTGATGTTTATTTCGACAACTATCATGTAAGATATTTCTCATGTAAGAAATCTCGTCTTTATTAAGACGAGCCATCAGGAAACAAAACTTTTAAAGTCATACCCTGAAAATAGGACAAAAGTAGAGGAGCTCACGAGTTTTCGAAGCCCTCTACAAGCACACGGTGGTACAGAAGGTGGCAAGACCTTTCCATTTACCCCGAGGTGACATATCCGTCAAAAATTGAACATTGGTCTACCCTTAATTTCTTCCAGTTCTGCTGTGTTGAGGTTCACCTGATCTTCAAAGACTACAACAGTTGGATATCTATCTATTAATAAGTTAAATCTCACTTATACAGAAAAATAAAGAACCACTATTACTTCAAATTATTTCAAATTAGAACATCGATAAATATTGCTAGCATAAACTACCTACAGTTATACCCTAAAGTTAGGTTTTTTGCAACTGATGGATCGCAATACGTGACGTAAATCCTTTGTGTTTATATAATAATCAAAATATTCCGTGCAACTCGAAACGGAACATAATTAGGATAGCGCGAAACTGCATTCGGAGAAGCGCGCTATTGGAAAATTCGCGGAAATGCATTCACTATATAAATTGGGAAAGCCGATCCACAGGACAATGACTACACAAAAATGTGTGTTGAAAATACACTGTTTCTGATAAACTTATAAAAAATAGAAATCTACGAAATTTTAACGATATTATTTATGAGGCAAAATTGTTAATTCGTTAGTACTTGGAGTGATTTTACATTTGTCTATAACGTTTACCTATAATGATTCCGTTATTTGACTTTTTATATCTATTACTTTCTCGCTTTCACTTAATCCTTATTTATCTAAAATTTAGTATTGTTTATAATCAAGTATGATAGTCCTACAACTCGACAAATCGTAGCAAACCTTGAATCTATTTTAACCACCTGTTAAAATCTAAATTAAGAAACACTTTTTTTAAAGTGCCATATCGTTACTGTGGTTGGCAATCATACTGGCTGTTTTTATTTTTAAACGTGCTGATTTAAACAAATCAATCTAACTGCTTTAATATCATTCACTTAGATTCTTTAACCAAGAATTCTGCCTTAGGCCAACAGATCTTCTTCCTTTAATCGTTCCGTATACTATGAGTCTCAAAATTTCCTATTCCTACTTGTATAGTGGCGATTGTGACTCTATGGCATAACGAGAATTTGACAGCCTTGTTTTTTTTAATTGAGTTTTTATAGTGTCCAAGTCTCAACTTCATATAATACTATTAAAAATATATAACATTGAATGGTACATAATCTGATTTCCAAATTAAGATTTCTGCACATTAAAAGTGGCTTCATTCGTATAAATACTGATCTGGTAATCTCTATTCGCCGGTTTATTTCTGCAGTATGATCATTGGTTTCATTGAAAAAAGTTCCCGATATTTTTCTACTTGTTCTATCATACCATTAATTGTCAATATGTGGTGACTGTTTTGTGGTGTTTTTAATTACTATATATTTCGTATTTTATTGTTTATAGTTCTATCTCAGAACTATTCAAATTTAAGCTTTTGATTAAATGTTGCAGATCTGTTATACTCCTTGCAATGATCACAGTGTCATCAGCATATCGTATGTTAATTAATTTCCCGTTAACAGTAACTCCGGCTTTAATATTATTGAGCGTGTTTTGAAAATTTCATCAGAATATAAGTTAAACAAAAGTGCTATTTTTTTGCTTTTTTCAATTGCCAAAATGAATGAATGAATTAATAAAATTTGTGTTTAAGATATTTATTTTATTAGTTATTTTGAACTTTGCACTTTACAGTTTACTTTCTTTATCCTTTTTACTATATTTTTTTCGTAGGCTGTGATTACTTTCGAAATAAAGTTCTTTATTTTATTTGAAACAATTTTAATGGCTATTAACTTATTAAGGTGGGAGATCTGGTAACTCAATATTTTACCATCACTTAGGGGGTCAGGGTTCGCGATCAGAGCAAACCAGAAAAAGGAAATTATATGAGCGTATCAAGCATTGCACTTGGCCCGTTACCTTCCTGGGCTAGAGAGTACATGTTTAAAATCCATCCCTTAACAAATTTTTTCAACCACAAAACTTAAATTGGAAATTAGTTATTTTTTCTTTGTTTTTGTAACGTGTGACTTAATTATTAAAAATGTAGAACCGACGGTATTTTGTAAAATTATTTTCAATAGGATCCTATGACAAGTAATATTAATCATCATATTCATCAGTTTCAGTCCAAAAACCTCACTATTACCACTTTGCCACTATAAATAATCTTTTCCTGGACAATAAAATTTACATTCATAATTTTTTTAGCAACTGACTTAGGTCCCAGTTTACAGATTTTAATGGAAATTAGCGACATAATCCATAATTAAAAATGTCAAGGGGTTGCCATTTTATAAAGGAATTCTGAATGGGATCAGAAATGTTGTCGTTATGATCATGTCGTTAAAGATCGCATAAAACGTTCTTTAAAATAAAGTAGTTCTTGCCATATAATCCCATTGTAAATTATAATACAAAATGCCGCCAGTCCTCTATTTTTAATGGTTAGATCTTATTTCAGGTACCCTAATTGGTATCTTAGTTCAGTTACCCAAAAAATAAAAATATTAAGTATAAGTTTTACTTTTCAGAAAATAAAATCTGCATTAATTTATTTTATTTATTTAAAATTATTTTACAAGCAATATGTTATCTCTTATGGCTGCTGCATATATCTGTTTAAATTTTAAGATTTAAGTATTATGTATTATGTCACAATCATGCGATTTCGCTTGCGTGTCCCTGCTTAATACTGCATAGCTTTCTTTTGTTTGTCCTTTTTAATATGAATACGAATTTAAACGTTGATAGTAGGTTTAAGAAACTTATTTATCTATATATTTTCTAATGTTATGTATTAGTCAAGAAAACAACGGTAGTTATGTCGATGCTGAAAATAAAAAGTGTAATTTATTGTAAATTTCGACAATAATGTAAACATAGATGAGTCACAATTATTTTTTTATTTTCAGCATAATCTTAATTATTATTTACCCTATTTCACTTCTATTATTTATTCTTTTACTATCTATTAGAATAAAGTTGGTGCTTCAATCTAATACATTTTTCAGGTTCCGGGAGACAGAAAACATTTTGGAAAGATCGTATGTACTTTTTGTGTTTTTAGAAGATTTTTTAGACTTACGATGTCTGCATGATCTTTTTTGTTTTTTGTATACTACACAAATGTGATTGTGTAAACAATTTTATTTTGAAGTAGAGTAGATACCTCATGTTTTGAGAATGTCCCAAATAACGTTGGTTTTTGGGTAATTTGTTTTATTGTAAATAATTGAATTGGTGTGGTTCCGTAATTATTGTTATTCATTACTTAATCGAATGAGTATTCATTTGACTTCTGTTAAGTAAACATCGTATTGATAGCAAATAAATAAAGCCATAATAACGGTGATAATTTAAAATCATTGTGATAAAAGCTTTTACTTGCAAAATTAAAATCCCATTGTAATAAGTTATAAAAGATTAATATTTACAAATAGATCGTAACCTGTTAAATTTTTCAATAGTCTAGGCAATCCCGGACCATAGTGTGAAGTAAGGAGAAAAGTGAACTATGATCATACAACAAATGAGAATCCAAATAGATACACTACAAAAGAAAATACAGAGGAGAAAAAAGTCTAAAATAAAAATATACAATACTGCACAGAAGAGGATGAGCTAAGTAAAAAAACCGAATGGATTCGAATTCTTCTTCTTCTTTTTTATTATATAGACATGACTCTGTCTGTTTTTCAATGTGTCTCCAGTAAGTTGTCATTCCATCGTTTTCCTATTGGGGAACCGTCTCTTGCGTTTTTACTACTCTATTTGTTGTCATTCGGCTTATATGATCGTTCCATTCTGCTCTTCTATTTCTTACTTAGTTTTTGATGTTCTTCACCTTGCATATATGTCGTATATCTGTACTTCTAGCTCTGTCCCATAGTGTCTTATCATCAATTTTTCTAAGTGTTTTCATCTCTGCTGTTTCTAATATCCTTTTTGTCCTCTCGTTGTCAGGTCTTGTTTCTGCCGCGTATGTCATTATTAGTCTGATGACTGTTTTGTAAATTCTGCCTTTCGTTTCGTTCCCGATATTTTTATTTCTCCATATTGTTTAATTTAGGCAGCCTGCGGCTCTAATTGCTCTATTCACTTGATCTTCCACTTCAGTTTCGAGCTTTCCGTAGCTAGATAATGTGATGCCTAGATATTTAAACTCCATCACTCGTTCTGTTATCTGACCTTCCAGCTATAATTTACATCTTAGTAAACTTGGTGTTTGTAACTATGCATTTTGTTATTATTCCTATTCCTATTCCACTTTGAAAGAGTAGTATTGCATCGTCTGCATCGCAGATTAGTTTAAGTTGTTTTTCTCCCATTTGGTATCCTTTTTTAGTTCTTACTTTTTTTATTATTTCATCCATAATCAGGTTGAACAATAGAGGACTCTGTGAATCTTCCTGTCTTAACCCATTGCCAGCTTCAATAGGGTCGGTTAGTTTTTTTTCTACTTTTCCATTTATTGGGATGTTTTGGTAGATACAGTGCGTTAAGTTTTTGATTAGGTATTGCACACTATACGGAGCGCTAAAATCGGCAACGTTGCAAATGTTCGTTCTCCGACCCGAGACTATCTGCACCGACAGAAAATCATTTTAGTTTAGTTTTTAGTAACTCACAACAACGTTTGGGATGTACTTCTCTGTTGTCCGATCTCATGTTTCATTACGTATAGCCGATTTTAATAGTAGGAAATTCGATAAAAATGCACTGATCTAATCGGTGCATTGTTATCGATTTTTATTAATGTGAAATTTTTTTTGTGGTTGAATTAAAAATAACAGCGTATTTCTTTTTAAAACATAAAATAAAAATAACTCTTATTGAAAATTAAAATATTATTCATAATAAAATAAAAAATAATTCTTTATGACCTACAGAAATGGTTCAAATAGTTGACCTTCTACGGCTGAACAGTACCCCAATCTGTCATAAAAACTTCTGTGAACAGATTAAAGAGTTTCTGCTGTAACAGAATTGGAGACTTCTCTTATTCGATTTTTTAATTCATCCAAATTTTGGGCTCTAGCCTCAGGATGATCGTAGATAATGCTTTTTAAATATCCCAAAAAAAGAAGTCCATGGGTGTAAGATCTGGAGATCGCGCAGGCCACTTAATATCGCCTGTTCCACTGATAACTCGATTCGGGAAAGTATTGTTTAAATACTCCCTAATAATTCGAGCGTTGTGAACTGAACAGCCGTCTTGATGAAACCAAACATTCTCCAGATTTACATCAGGAAGATTGAGAATAGCAGGAAGAACATGATTCTGTAACAAATCGAGGTATACTCTACTATTCAAGTTGCCCTCAATAAAAAATGGACCTATTATGTGGTCTCCTAAAATGCCAGTCCAGACGTTAACTTTTTGAGGACGTTGAGTTCAGTAAACAACACTTCTGTGCTGGTTTTCCCGCGCCCAATAGCTCGTAATGGAAGGATTCTGTCTCCCTACTAACGAAACAGAAGATTCATCAGTGAATAAAATGTTTTTAATAAAATCTTTGGTTTCACCATTCTTCGAAAGTAATCGTCTGGATAAAGCTGCTGCGTTTTCGAATATTTAAAATTCTTCTAACCGTGCTTTTTCCATACTTTCGTTACAGTAACATTGCTAACATCTAACTCTCTAGCAATGCTTCTACTTGAACGTGTTGAATCTACCTCGATTATTGTACAAATTTGTGTATCCCGGTATTCTCTTTCCTCAACTTTTTCTGGTAACACTTCTTGAGCGTGACATTTTCTGCAATTTTTGAGGCAATAAATACAACTCTTAAAATTTTTAACAATATTATAAATTGACTGTACACAAGGAATTGGTCTTCCCTCAAAAAACACAGAAAATAAATCTACACACTGTTGCGCAGAATTGCCACTATAAAACCATTTTTTTATTTGAGCTTTTTCCGCGGCCATATAAACAGACATGTTTACAAAAATAAATTAAAACTACGCTGTTATACCTTTAAACAACCACGGTATAATGACAATATGACAAATTTGCCGACGGGCGACAAGCAACGACGAGTCAACGAAGCAGATATCTAGTGGCAAGTCGACGACGCGCAGTGTTGCCATTTATAGAGTGTATACCTAATCCAAAACTGAACGCACTGTATTTTCGATCGTTTTGATTATCCCTAGAGGTATCTCTCTTGCATACAGTAAGTGGATAACGTATTTTAATTTGACCCAGTCCAATGCCTTTGTAAGGTCCACGAAATATAGATATGCCGGTTTGTTGTATTCGAATGATTTCTCTTGCACTTGCCTCATTATAAATATACCCGTCGGTGCATAATCTTCTCGACCTAAAACCTTGTTGTTCTTCTGCTAGTGTTATAATTTCATTCAATTTATTTGTTATCACTTTGGTTGTTAATTTTAGTGTTGTGTTTATTAAATTAATTCCTCTGTAATTTTCTGGGTCCGATCGAATTCCAAACACAAAATAAGGAGGGCAAGCGACCCACTCAACTAAAGTATAGCCTTACTTCCACCAACAGATTAGTAAATCAGAAGAATTATAAACTAATTGAAAATATGAAACTCTAGGGAGAAAACTATCATGTACTACAATATTTTATCAAACTAGCATGTTAGCAGGTGGAAATATAAAAATTAATAAAACTCGAACATGGAAGTAAAACACTTCTGTTGTAAGTAGTATATATAATTAAAATACATATAAATTAAAAAATGTCTTATCTGGGACATATAGCGAAGCGAAAGTCGATATAAAATTTTAAAAACTGATCCTTAAAGGCAAAATAGAGGGCCGTAGAGATGTAGGAAGAAAACAAGTTTCTTGGTTAAAAAACATTCGTGAATGGACTCAGATACCAAATGCAGGACAATTATTCCATATTGCAGAAGCCTTCGTAATGGTGATCGCCAACGTCGGATAGTTCTGATATGGCACGCGAAGAAGAAGAATAAATTAAAATTAATTATAAAAGTTCAAATGAATTAAAAACTCAGAAAGTTTTCGGACTAGTCGGTCCATCTTAAGTGAACTTTTATAGTATTTGCGTAAATAACCATAAAACCAAACAGTGATTAGGTTTACTCAATTGAGCTGGCATTTTTTTTTGGAGGATATCAAATATATTAAGCTCTTCACGTAGTAACACATCTAGTGTAGTAGAAGCAGTAATGGTAAACAATAGTCTAATTGATTTCGTTAGCGAAAGTATAGGGACTAAAGTCATCTTGACAGCTAGTGTAACTGTCAAAACAAAAAAATATGACGTAACAATAGCAGCTGCTTATTTTCTACCAAAACCCAATCTAAAAAAAGAAAATTACGTCGAGTTTCTTAACACGTTTGAAGAAAAACGTGTGATTGGTACAGACTTTTATTCTATAAACACCGTATGGGTTCAAGGTTAATCAGTATAAAGAGTAAATAGTTACATACCGAACAAGAAAATATAAAAATAAAATGGCACTCATCTGGAAAACCCACTATTGGCCCACCGATAGGAAATAACACAGCCGACTTGATTGACTTTTTATTTCAAAAAATGCTGCAGAAACGTGTTATAAAAATAAAAAAGCTAATATGATCGCTCACTAATACTACTGTAGCAATCTTGTTCTTCTTCTTTTTTTTAGATAAACATGAATCTGTTTGTTTTTTAATGTGTCTCCAGTAAGTTGTCATTCCATCGTTTTCGTGGTCTTCCTACTGATCGTTTTTCCTATTGGGGAACCGTCTCTTGCCGTCTTTACTACTCTATTTGCTGTCATTCGGCTTATATGATCGTTCCAGTCTACTCTTCAATTTCTTACCCAGTTTTTGAGGTTGTCTGTCCCATACTTTCTTACTATCAATTTTCCAAGTATTTTCATCTCTGCTGTTTCTAACATCCTTTTTGACCTCTCTGTGTCAGGTCTTGTTTCTGCCGCATATGTCTTTATTGATCTGACGACTGTTTTGTAAATTTTGCCTTTCGTTTCTTTCCCGATATTTTTATTTCTCCATATTGTTTCATTTAGGCAGCATGCGGCTCTGTTTGATCTATTC